GGTTGGGGGGAGCTGGGGGAGGTTGAGGGAAGGGAGGAGGGGGGGTTTGACAAGGGGGTAAATGGGTGTGTTGCAGCAGCCAGTCCCCTGAGGGGAGGGGGGAGAGGAGGAGGAAGAGGGGGACGACGACGACGACGACGACGACGACGACGAAGAAGAAGAAGAAGAAGAAGAAAGAAGATCAAGAAAGGAGGAGGAGGAAGAAGAACGAGATGAAAGGAGGAGGAGGAAGTAGAAAAAGAAGATGAAAGGAGGATGAGGAGGAGGAGGAGAGGAAAAAGAAGATGAGGACGAGAGGAGGAAGAGGAGGAGAAGAAGGAGGGGAAAGAAGAAGGACACTTGGAAAAAAAAAAGACGAAAGGAGGAGGAGAAGAAGACGAGAGGAGGAGGAGGAGGAGGAGGAGAGGAGAAGAAGAAGACGAAAGGAGGAGGAGGAGGAGGAGGAGGAGGAGGAGAAGAAGAAGAAGAAGAAGAAGAAGAAGAAGAAGAAGAAGAAGAAGAAGAAGAAGAAGAAGAAGAAGAAGAAGAAGAAGAGGAGGAGGAAGAAAGGAGGTGGAGGGGGTTTCACCGACGACGGCGGCAGTAGCAACTCACGACGGAGCTGCACCAGGGTGGCGACGAGCGACGGGGGATCGGGAGGGCCTCGGCAACAGCAGCGACCAGGGTTCAGTGGATGGCGATGGGAGCTCGGCGGCAGCAGCGACGGGAGCTCGACGGGAGCTCGACGGTAGCAGCGACAGAGCTTCACTCCATGGCAACAAGTGACGGTGTTGCTGGAAGAGGGCTACGACCGACGAGCGACGGGGCTGCACGGACGAAATCGCGCATTCAATTTCGTAACACCTTTCGCGCGATTTTGTCAGGTGGAGAAGGCCTTTCCTGACGACTGATCTCAGCCGCCAATGCAGATCGGCAGCTGGGATCAGTTGCCAAGAAGGGCCTTCTCCCCCTTTTGAAAAATCGTAAAAAAATTTTTTGAAGTCCTACGTTGAAGCGGGGAGTGTGGGGAGGCCGCCTGCGCCCGCTCAGGCCCTTCCGACCCCCCGCGCGAAATTGCGCTGGACCCTCCCAGCACTCAACCGGGGGACCCAACCGGCCGGGCCGCCCGGGACCCCGACCGAGCGAAGGCCGGGCCGCCCGGGACCCCGACCGAGCGAAGGCCGGGCCGCCCGATTTGAACACAGCATAGAACTTTAATTCCAGTAAAGTGTAGGACTGTACGAGAAAACCCTGAAACAGAAAAGCTAAAAAGGGAAGAGAATAAGGTATGGAAAAGAAAAAGAAAAAACAACAGAGAGACGAGAGGAAAAACTGACCTCATGGCCCTCCTCTGCAGGCTGAGGCTCGCCGTCAGAACATAGTCCTTCCCACAGGTCTCCATCGATCCGGTACTTGAAAATGATGCCCGGCGGTTTGGAAGCTCCTTCCCTCAGCATGTGTTTCCCCTGGTCGTCTTTTGGTCCCGAACCTGTCGTCTGCTTAATGGGCGATAAAGCCTGCCGAACGCCATGGTGGTTCGGTTCATCATCTGTACGGAGCAGCACAAGTGCTCCGTTTGATGGCATGCCATCCATTGACAAAGAATTGGAAGTGGCTGCAAGCTCACTTACACAAGCTGGAAAGTCATAAAACTGGGAGCAATAGAACGTTTCAGACTTTGTCACCAACGTCAGTGGAAGATACATTGTCACATATCTATGAACTAAAAGAGTGCACTTCGCGAAACAAACGGTTAAAAAAAAAAACACAAGATAAACAAACATGAACATCAGTGGAAGTTCTATGTAGCTTTTCAGAAAACACAGTGAGATTCCCTTCCTGCTCAAATGACGCTGCTCTGAAGTATACCAAGGGTGGCTGAAAAGTCACGCCATGCACAAACCTGGGCCATTTCCTGTGATCCAGGCGAGAACCTATACCATGATGAGTAAACCTCGACCGTTCCACTATGATCCAGGTGTTATGTGTTCTATTGATTCACAACTCAAACCTGCATTCAATGTTCCCATACACATGTGCGATGACAAGCAGACTGGAGAGAGCAGATTCACACCATAGCCATGGAGAGATATTGCACAGTGGAAGCCAAAACCAGATATAAAAATTGAGAGAAAGACGTTTCAACTTTCAATCAATTATTTATTACACCCCCTGCTCTCCTCCTGTCAACCGAACAACTCCAAGAATCTCAACCACGAAATCTGTTCCACGGTTCCACCTCCAATTACCCCCGACAATACACTTCAACGAAGCTTCATTGAAACTTCCTCTTCTCCCTATGACACCCAGCCTCCAATGACAGCCCACTGTTGAAAACAGCATCTCATCATGCCCCGAGCCTGTGAGTACAGGCACTGATCTGGCATGAGCCAAATATCAAGTTGCAGCGCCGCAAACCACCGTGAAGAAGAAGGTGAACCTCGATGAAGAAGATGATGGCTGCCCTGGTATACAAGCCGCTTGATGAACAGCGGTGTCCTTCAACCCCCACAAACAGCAGTGTGATAGCAGTGGCATCAGCACCTGGAAGACCTACTAAAGGTCCTGCCTCCTCAAGCAGCAGGGCGCCCCAACTATGGCTGCACAAGTTCCCCTTCGAAGAGGAAGAAGACTGAGCGCTGGAAATAGTGCCACTCACGTACTCCCGTCGCCACTTCCAAAAAAATGAGAAAAGGACCTCAAACTTGTCGGCCGCTCCCTACTTCTACCCGACTTCCCTAGACCTACAACACAGCAGTCACCTACGAACCTATCTGACCGTCGAAACAGCAAACATCTACGGCCAAACAGTCAAGATCTGCCTACATGCATCTGGATGGAAATTTAGACTACCGGGACCGAAGACTAGGACACACAAACGAGAGACCTACGGGCCTACCAGTTTCCAGAAGAGCAGAAAAGGACAAAACAGCAAGACCTGAAGGGTCTGAGACTGCCAAATAGAGACTACCAGCGACAAGTTCACGGATCAAGCCCAGCAGACTCAAAGCTAGTAATCAACACATACAAACTGTAGGTCACGGGATCAAGTCCCACAGGACTCAGACCAGGGGAACAGCAGACAAACTTGGTGTACAGCCCGCGTGAGCAACTGCAATTCATTTCATTCCTACCCTCCCGGGAGGCGAGGACCCTGAGCTAGGAGTGTCCATGAGGAGACCGTCTGAGCAATTGCTCTTTCTGTTCAGCCTTGTAGAACCGCACGACTGAATTTGCAGACTTGAGAAGTTCCTTCCTTGTAAACCAACGGTCCTCTGTGTGAGGTTGGAAGTAGAACTCCACAAGATATTCGCAGTTGGGGCCTGTGCCCCACTGATCCTCTATGCTCTCAACTTCATATCCCTTTCCAGGGATAGGAGGTCCAAACTGCGGTGGCCTATCAGGAAATGCATCAGCAGGAGTGAAAGGCAGAAGTTTTGAGGCATGGAAGACCGGATAGGTCCTGATATGAGGGGGTACAGCAAGCACATAGGAGGGTCCAAATGGATCTGCTGCTACAGTATCAAGCACCTGCCATGGGCCATAGTAAACAGGCAACAACTTTCTAGATATGTCATGTTCGTCAGTTAGTTCAGATCTTTTCACCCAGACCCAGTGACCTGGTCATATGGTAAAGGGAGAGCGATGCTTTTTAGCCTGTTCGATCATCCTCTTCTGGGCCTTGAACATGTTAGTTTTGACTTTCTCTAGGTCTCTCTCAAAACTCTTGGTGAATTCTGCAGTTCCAGGAGTCAGTCTAGGCTTAGCCTTGTAAGAGGTTGTCTTGGATCTCTGGCAAAGTGCAGCCTATAGGGTGTAAAGCCTGTAGTGCTGTGAATAGACTTGTTATACATCAGTTGTGCCCTGGACAGATGTTTGTCCCAGTCTTGCTGATCAGGTGTGATCACAGGACGCAGCAGCTGAAACAAGACTTGGTTCATCACTTCAGCCTGTCCATTGGCTTCAGGATGCCGACCAGAAGTCATGTCTAGCCTAGAATGAAGGTAGTCTTTGCAGAAAGACTGCCACTCATTGCTGCAAAATCTGGGGTCTCTGTCGCTAACAATGGAGGTTGGGCACCCATGGACATTAACAAACCTATCAGCAAACAGCTCTTTGACCACTGGCCTCAGCAAGTAGGGGAATAAATTGAGCAAACTTAGAGAAACAATCAACACACACCATTACCTGTCTCATGCCACGTGGAGTAGTCTTGCCCAGATGAGTGAAGTCAATGGACACAGACTCGCCAGGAACATTAGGAATAGGCAAAGGTTTGAGTAGTCCCATAGGAGGTCGTCTGTGACCTTGTTCCTTTGGCACAACTCACAACTCTCCAAGTACTTGAGTATATCCTCTCTCACCTTGGACCAATAGAAGCGCTGGATCAGGGCAACATAGGTCTTTAGAAACCGAAAAATAACCACGAGCACCCCACAGATCTGTGGCATTTCAATCTAAAATAGAGCCTCCAATGCTTCTTTTCAAGCTACTGATAGGATTAGACCACTGTACAATACAGCCTCCAAGGATACGATTCCCTCACAGATCTGTGGCATTTCAATCTACAATCTTTATGCGGATATCCATGTGAACCTTGTCCCTCAACTTTCAGATTATGTGACCTCAAACTATTTGATATTGGATTAGACCACAGTAGAGTCGTGTAGATCTATGGTAGTGCTTAATTGACGACAACCCAATCACTCTGTCTCGGTGCAATTGCATTCATTTCAGAGTGAAAACTATTGAATTGTTCCTAGAATGAGGAGCTCAAAGCAGAGGACAAGGAGTCAGGGAAGGGGGGAGGAAGAGTCGAGGAAAGCAGGAGGAGGAGGACGAGGAAGAACAGGAGGGTGATGACAAATGAAGGAGGAGGAGGAGGAGGKGGAGGAGGAGGAGGAGGAGGAGGAGGAATAGTAGTAGTAGAAGAAGAAGAAGAAGAAGAAGAAGAAGAAGAAGAAGAAGAAGAAGAAGAAGAAGAAGAAGAAGAAGAAGGGGAAAGCAGGAGGAGGAGGACGCGGAGAAGGAGGACGAGGAAGAACAGGAGGGTGATGACAAATGGAGGAGGAGGAGGAGGAGGAGGAACAGTAGTAGTAGTATAGTAGTAGTAGTAGTAGTAGAAGAAGAAGAAGAAGAAGAAGAAGAAGAAGAAGAAGAAGAAGAAGAAGAAGAAGAAGAAGACACACCTGGAAGGTGAAGTACAAATATTGAGGGACTGGGCGACCTCGTGGTGGACCGGGTGCTGCCTGGTTTTTGCCCGCGAAGGTCTCATAAAGAGTTCGTGAGGGGTTGTATGCCAACAACTGGATGACAACCTCGTTTATGCAGAGGGGATCCTCAGCCTCGCACTTCATGCTGATCTTAGGCCTCTCTTGCAATGGTTCCTGAGGAGAGAGTGGCCGTCCAGGCTGTTGCAACAGGTTGGGTTTCTTTGGCATATGCTGATCAGGAGCCTGGGACAGAATGCCAAGAACCCCATCTGGCAGGGAGGAAAGAAGACCCGCTTTGTGAAGTCGAGCACGCGTAGCTCTTGTTGGCTGCAAAGAAGATTTCCAGAAAAGTAAACACAAAATGAACAGAAATGGTGGAACGGAAAGCAAGGGAGCGCACGTGGTTGGAATGGGGAATGTAGGTGGCAGAGAAAAGGAGGTGGTAGGCAGACAGAGAGCATCAGTGCCCCTAAATCAGAATTATCAAACAGAGTTTTAGAAGTTCGAGTGACTTTTGCAACCATAAAACTCATCGCCAATCTTGCTCCATCCATTAGACTTGTTGTCAAACTGTCATGAGCTTCCAACACCATATCTGGATTCCAGCCACAAAAAGTAAAGCCAATAGGAAATAGGCCCAATACCAATAAAGAGAGAAGCGTAGAAGAGAGGATGACAGGGACTGCCATCACCGTAGGATGGGATGAGACGAGAGGGAAAACGGTGAAGTATAATGGAGAGTCAAAGGAAAGGAGTCTAAGGACAAGGTCATCCAAGGGGCATGACATAAATTGAGAGGGAAGAGGGGGGAGGAGGATTGATGAGAACAGGGTTTGTGTGACTTCCCAGTGCACTCAAGAAGTGGGGAAGAGAAACACAGAGGGGGAAGAGACACACAGAGGGGCGAGGGGGAGAGAGAGAGAGAGAGAGAGAGAGAGAGAGAGAGAGAGAGAGAGAGAGAGAGAGAGAGAGAGAGAGAGAGAGAGATGAAAACAAAAGGATCTCCAGTTGGGCATATCTTCCATCCCCAGTACTTGCAACTTCAAAGTGAACCAGAGTGTCATTCGGCCCATTTCCCATGGTGGACACAACCATAGTGATGAGACTGCACTTCTTGCCTTTCATTTCAATTTCTCCGCAAATTAAGTGTGCCCATGCTCCCACCCAGACCCAAAGTCGAAGGCCAAAAAGTCTCATATCAGACCATATGTAATCAAAGATCATGTGTGTGTCGGTTTTTCAGGTAATCAAAGACCATACATAACCAGATACTATATGTAATCAAAGACTGTCCAGGGGGGGGGGTTAAACTGGTTTTAAAAGGGCTCAAGGGGGGGGGAAGGGGGGTATAAATTGGTTTTAAAGGGGCTCAAGGGGTTCAAACTTGAAAGCGGGGTGCTTTAGTGTGACTCTGTTATTTTCTTTTTTCTCCCCGATTCTGTGAGGAATTCTGATGTGACCCTCAGCCAAAAGTAGTTTGTAGAACTTTGTAATACTTTGTATTGCAATTTTTTTATTCTGTGAGCAGGTTTCTTGGGTTTCCCCAGTATTTATTCCCTCTCTATGGGCAGACGACGACGAGGTTTGATCCAAATCAAGGGTGTTTAGCTGCCGCAGGATTTGGTCTGCAACAGCTCGCCCTGGTGGTGATAACCTTTCAGCACAGCGCTCTGCAGGGGGTTCATATGGTAGTCTATTTTCCTCTTTAGGCTGCTGCGTCTGTAGGTGGTTCATATGGTAGTCTTCCTCCTTAGGCTGCTGCGTCTGTCGTTCGTCTGGTAAGGTAGAAGGAAATCCGTCTGCGGCTGCAGTAGGTGTATGCCCAACATTGTCCTTCGGGACATCCGTTAAAATTGGAACGATACACAGAAGATTAGCATGGCCCCTGTGCAAGGATGACACACATAAATCGAGAAATGGTCCAAATTAAAAAAGAAAAAAGAAAAAAAAAAAGGTGTATGCTACTATGCCTACTATGCCCAACACTGCATGTGGGATATTCTAGGAGAGGATGTGGCGGATGATGGCATCGGGGATAGTCCACGCAGTAGAGACACATACTTTCTATGACAGCTTCCTGGAAACATTGAGAACACATGGCATGTTGCTGACATGTCAGTAGCAAAGGAGGCTAATTTGAAGTTTTGCAGCTGTTTTAAGCACGGCAGGTCAAGGAGGCCACGACGGCATGCTGGGCAAGCAACTAGGGGGTGGAGGGATGAGTACAAGACACAGGGTCTCAGTTTCGAGGCAGAGACTGGCAGTGACCATCCCTTCATAGTGTTTGGAGCAGAGGCTATGCCGTGTGCATGCTAACCGAACTGTAGTTGTGTGACAACACAATGGAAGGGCACAGCCACCATCCTCTGGAGAGGTCCCTTCACTGTCTGTGGTAGAATCCGTCCGATCTACATAGGGAGGGGACACTGCCTGACCATGTACAGGGGAAGGAGGAGGTTCAGCGGATTGCTCTCCGGAGGCTGTAGTGCTTGCCAGCACACAGTGACACACTGTTCCTGATGGACGAGCCAGACCGAGTGAGAATCTACTGCTTAGTCAATATACTCCTCGCCGTGTACACCCTACCGCCATCGTCCCGTAGAGTCCATGAATTATCCACAAAGGTAACACGTACTAACAACACGGAAATGGCCTGGACGATGCAGGATGTATGCAAAAATATTTGGATCCATGGCTGGCATGTGATTCTGTGGAGCAGGCTGGATTTGTAGTCTTCTTCCCATAAATGACACATAGACAGGACTTCTATTTTCACACCAGGTGCAGTACTGTCCTCCTCTGGGCAGACAGCACGGTGCTCTTTTTTTGTTCTATCCAGCCGACTATATCTGCAAAGTCAGAAATCATATAAGGGTTGAAGTTGTAAGCGAGGAGACATACATTAATGCCATAGTACGCAGTGTGTGTGGAAGTGTGTGTGTTGTGTACGCAATCACCAGACAGTGTTCCCAAATCCATCCATACCAATGTAGGGTCAAACGGAGCGCATGTCCATGTGTTATGTGTGTGTGTGCATGAATGGGCAAGAGGCAGGGATGTCTCGTTATTCAAAAGAGGAAGAAAAGCAACTTCAAGAGACGATGAGTCAAATTATGTAAATAGTACTCAATACTGATTAAGACCTGGCGTTGGGGCACTGCGTCTGGGTGTCCTCCAGTGAACTTCCACTCTCTTCGCCCCTTGGACTCCTTGCATGTTTCCGCCTCTCTTGACAACAGTTCGTCATCATATGCATGGGTTCCGGTTGGAGGGATGGCCTTCAGCTGTTCCAACTCAGTGTGCTGTAGGCTTTTCAGCACTGATTTTGGTTTTGCTTTCGGTTTTCGTTTCCGCCGTTCTTCGTCGGACTCCACTTTCGCATTGTCCACCAAGGGATCATCATCACACACTTCATTATCCTTGCCCGGAAATGCCTTGGCAGGGTCGGAATCAGTTGGCCCAGCAACCGAAAAGGATCCGGGATCGAACTCCTTCACAGGTGCGGCAGCACCACCAGTTAACGTGTACCCTTCTGCTGGGGCTCCTTGCATTTTGTCCTTAGGACTTGAAATGCTCTGACTCAAATCCTTGGCAATCGCTGCAGGAATAGTCTGGCAAGCTTTCTGATTCTCATAAACCTGCAGGACAAGAACTGTGTTCTGTTAGAAAAAGACATTAAAAAAAAAAAAAAACCTAGACAAACTAGTAGCATGCAAACTTAGCCACACACGCAGCTATCGGGCCAACAAGAGGGCCCAGAAGGATGACAAGTAGTTTATAACTTTATATAGATATATAGCCACAGAGAACTGCCTGGTGAACGATAGTCCAAAAAAAAAATAAAAAAGGTGATTCCTTCTTATGATTCTTGATGAGTATAGGCAGATCTGACAGGTTCACGTAAGGAACCTGAGAGGAATACATGAGAAAGGCTAGCTGACAGTCAATCCTCCTGCAACAGGGAGTAATCAATGCTGATCATCGGCCGAATGGAAGGATGCGTGTGTGTAAATGATGTACCTGAGGATTTTGCCTTCCTGGCGGAATAAGAACCCGACTGACGAGTCCTTCGGGACATCTGTTAAAATTGGAACGATACAGAGAAGATTAGCATGGCCCCTGCGCAAGGATGACACGCATAAATCGAGAAATGGTCCAAATTAMAAAAAAAAAAAAAAAAAAAAAAAAAAAAAGGAACCCGACTGACGCTCCCCAGAATGGATACGGAGCCAGGCGGGGGAGAAAAGGACAAGAAATGGTGGGGGGGTGACAGACTCTTTTGTCAGAGTTTCACTGACTCATCAGGAGGTTGGTGCCCATCTTAGGGTATCAGTTGTGGGGCAGTGGTTGATGACTATGTGCAACTGGGGTTAAGGTGGGTTGCCAATTGAAGTACCATTGGTTAGACTCTGCAGACTGTAGAGGGTTTGTTTAGCCTGCTTATGAGTCTGTGAGACTAAGACGAGACCGTCTGTCACAACCCCCCTTTCTTGTCCTTTTCTCCCTTTTCCGCCTACAGTTCACCAGGCGGTTCTCTCTAACTACATATATTATCAAAGAGAAAAGAAATGACCTTATGGTCTTGGCCGCTCCTATTGACGGCAGTGTCAGTACGGTCAGTTTCTTTTTTTTCGATAATGTTTTTGGTATCTTTCTAACTTCCCTCGTGTATAGAAGTCAGTCTTCATTCGGATAGAACTTGTATGTGACCTTTGGAAATTCTCCTCTTGCCAGTACTTGGCACTTCTTTGCACTTCTCTCACCAGATATCAAAATCGCGAGTCTATCTTGCGATAAAATGTGTAAAGGTACTACATCCGCCATTCTCACATGTGGCGAGTGGTGGAACGGGGCCATTGAACGTTGACAGGGCGTGCAGAGTTCAATTCAACAAGACAATAACAAAAAGACGGCAAACCAAGGAACAGAACAAGGCAACAGGACCCGTCTACTCCCATTCAGAAGTTAGAGATTGACTCAGCAGAGTGGGCTCGAAAGCTGAAGACCAGAAGCGGGGGCGTTGAGTGAAAGGTCAACTTACTAACTTACGCAACAAGACTCGGATACAGGCTCAGTAGAAGGTCAGTGAACATGCAAGAGGTGGATGTGTATTTTATTCTCATTTCTTCCCCACATGGACCGTTTGATTCCAAATGATTTTGAAGATGGTACACTCGAATTGTATTGTTTAAGTGGACCATCGACTCGTTTACAAAAGATTTTAATTTCACAATTACTAAGTCACTGGTTACTCAAAATCATGGCTATTCTGTCGAGTTTTCCTGTTTTACAATTGCTTAAAGCAGCGCTGGACCAAGCATGTGTCAGGGGGAACGGGGGCGGTGTTAAGAATCCCATCGAATGCTTTTCTGGCCATACGCAATGAGAGGGTGAGAAGCATGCAATGGCTCATAACATAACTGGCAGTACCGGTCAATGTGTGGCTCAACAAACGCGGAGCTCATGCCCACAGATTTCTCAACAAAGGAAATATGTGCCATCTGTGACAGGGGAGAGAAGGAAGACATCAGACACTGCCTACTCCATGGCCCAAAAGTGGAGCAAATATGGGGGAGGACACGGGATCTATGGACAGCTATCACGAATAAGACTCTAGCGAGCGACTACATCTCCGCACCCACAGGCTTCTTGGAGCCCAGAGGGTTGGAAAAGTGGGAACGAAGAATGAGACCCTGACATTATGCCTAGTGTGGAAAAGAAGATGCAAGGAGAAGCGTGAGTCATCAGGTCCCGCTGATTCCGCCCCTGCCCTTTGTACACACCGCCCGTCGCTCCTACCGATTGAATGGTCCGGTGAAGTGTCTGGATCGCCTGGGATCTTGGCGGTTTGCCACTGGGGGTGCTGTGAGAAGTTCATTGAACCTTCTCATTTAGAGGAAGGAGAAGTCGTAACAAGGTTTCCGTAGGTGAACCTGCGGAAGGATCATTGAAAAAGATGCAAGGAGAAACTGGAAAGACAGCAGGCGCAGACAGAGGAGGCGTGGGAGGGGCTCACGCAAATGCTACAGACCGATTACTAAACGGATTGGCATAAAGTAAAGAGACAGATCAAGAAGTACCCGGACAAGCAGCAGGAGATCAGGCCCAAATTCGTGACGGACACCCTCGGTGAAAGAGAAGTCGGCAGTTTGGAAGGAAACACAACCAAGCTCCAACTGGAGAATGGGTGACGGAGAAGTAACCAGCACAGACACAAATCCTGATGGCAATTCGTGACGAATGCTCGCCGGTTAATATCTAACGAGTTCCGAGGTTCGATGCAACTCACAGCCCCCCTTGCACTAAGTGCTCTGTGAAACTCAGCTTACCATGGTCTCAACTCTAGTCACGGCTTCCGTAAGTACCAGTAGCTGAGCTTTCATATCTGAGATGGCTGCCTCAGTGTTCTTTGTGTTCCTCTTTACATCCTCCTCCAGACCCAAGGCTGCATGCTTGGCGACTGATTCAACCGGTTGCTGTGAAATTGTCCTTCCAACGTTTAGACTCTTTAGAGCTTTTTTGTTATCGGAACGAGGAGGCTGCTCCGTTTCAATGAGTCCTTTGCTGGGCACCATGGGCAAAGACAATGAGCCTTCATCATGATCATCAGCTCCTAGAACATCAGGAGATTGAATTGTCTGCAGGCTGGGAAGCAAATGCCTGATGTCTTGAGCATGCTCTTCCGCTATCAGCGACGAACTAGTCACAAGTTGGGGCTGCGAAAATCATTTGTCACAATGTCAAGCACAAACCAACTGCTCCGTTACTCGGACGTCAGCCTCATCAATTTCATATCCTTGAGGTTAGACTGCAAATGGGTTGCTCATTCCTGTTTTGGGAGATTCTCAAATATCGTGCATATTACAAACCGCTGGGAAAAAGAGAAAAGGCTAAAGTTGAGAGTGTTGTTTGAAACTTGAACGTTGAAAACTTAAAGTTGGAAGTTGAAGAAATTTAAAATGTGAAATGATGAAATCTGAAATGATGAAATTTCAAATTTAAAATTTGAGATTTGATAATTGAAATTTGAAATTTGAAATTTGCAAGTTGAAAGTTGAAAGTTGAGACTGTACTCACCAACTGCCCTAGCGTCTTCACCCGAATAGAACGCCCAGTCGTTATCACTGTATCTAGACTGAAAGTTGCACCAAATACAGCTATAATGACCAGGCGTTCTATTCGGGTGAAGACGGTAGCTCAGTTAGTAAACGACTGAACTGTTGAAATACAGACCTGAGTTCGAAATTCGAACTCAACTGGAAACAGATGTGTAAAATAGTAACCAGCGGGCCTAGCTCAGTTAGTACACCTATAAAGTTATAAAATGTTGAAATGCAGACCTGAGTTCGAATCCAGATGGAACTAGATGAACTGAATTCTCCTGAATTACGTGGGGCCGGTCACCTTCACGATGATATCTCCAGCCCGTCGCCCTTTCCAAAAAAAAAAAAAAAAAAAAAAAAAAAAAAAAAAAAAAAAAAAAAAAAAAAAAAGAGTAAAATAGTAAAAAATACTAAAAAAAAATGAAATACTACAATTCGGAATTACCTAGGGCCAGTCAGCTCGCTGATGATACTCCAAGGCCATAGCCCTTTGAAGAAAGGGAAAACTTAGAAAAAAGTTAAACAAAAAAAGAAGGAACAAGAAAGAAAAAAAAGTTGAAACTCTACTCGAGGCCTAAAATTTATTGGTTGATAAGGCCGTAGCCCCTTTAAGCCATAAGGCTGGATGCCGCTGGAGTTAAAATTTATTGGGCTTATCGATTTGCTGGAAATTTTCTTTAGCAGCACAAGCTACATCGTGAGCATGCAATGAGCCTCAGGGCTCACCACACGATGGAGTGCTCACACTAGCATGCATGTCACACATTGCACATAGAGAAGATTAGTAGACCAGATACCGCAGCTCAATTACCACAACCAGATTTAAAAGAGAGGTTCAAGATTTCAACTGTCCAGCGCTCTACAAGATTACAAGTCTTCTTCAATCATCAAGGGTATCAGCATCTCCCTCATCAGCGCTTGTTACCAACATTCAAGTTCAGCACTCTTCAGGTAAGCATCTACCATAGCTCACTCTCTCTCCCTCTTATCTCTCTCTCACTTGATGGTTCTGGTCTTCTCTCTTCACAGTCTTCCTCTTCTCTCACATGTGTGCGCCCTTCTCCTAACACACACATGAGGATCAACTCTGAATACTACTCACTGCTCTTCTACTGCTAACTACTAACTACATTGCTTCCTGGTGCTGGCGCAGCTATGGCTGCCTTCTTCCCTGCCAGCGCCTACTTCCTCTCTCTCGTCACACTCAGTGCTGCTCTCTGGCATAGCACAGCTCCCACACTAGCGCACAAGTGCACAAGCACTTCCACACTCTCATGTGAATGAGCATCTGCCGAAATGGGAGGCTGGCCAGTCTTTTGTAGTGTTGGACTGGTCTTGATTGGGCCAGCCTCTGGCCGAATCCCCTGGTACCGCATGCCCACTGCCTGTTAGTTGCGAAGTGTGAGTCCCACTACCTTTCCCATGGTCTGCTGCTGCTGTGGCCTTTCGAACATGCCTTTTGGACTTCTGGTTTAACTCAAGACTTGACCTCTGGGACTGTGACTAAACTGGGCCTGCGACCTTTGACTATCTGCTGAACAGACGTGACCCTTACTCAGCCTCAAATTTGACTGTTCGCATAGGACCTGAGTGTGAGTTTTGCAAAATGACTTTTCATTTCAGTCCGGACGCGACATTTGCCTCAGGGGAACTTGTCTTTTGAAATGCTGATTCGTAACTCCAGGTTCTGGCCGACTGGGCCCCTTCATGTTGGGGTCGTGATTCGGGGTCTGAATCGTAAAAGCCCCTTTTAGCAGTAGCCTGAGCAGCATAATTGGTTGATCGTCAAGATCCTTTAAATGATTAAATCCCAATGAACCAGAAGAGGACCAAGATTTGCTGTCACTTGAATAGGCTTGAAGTAAAAGCACGCTGAGGTGTTACCCAATTTTGTACTTTGTGCATTGCTTTATGAGGCCCAGTAGAAGAGGGCAATTCACACATAGCAATGATAGCATCCACAATCATTTCAATGACTTGCCTGACAAGAGCGCTTTCCTTCGGCCTGGAAGCCTCGAGTGACTTGAGAGAGGAAGTGCCATCTATTGTTCCCCCAGTGCCACCATTGTGGGAGATGCTAGCTTCTCTTTCTTCTTCTTCTTCTTCTTCTTCTTCTTCTTCTTCTTCTTCTTCTTTAACCTAGTTTTCGTGTACTAGGTGGGGTGATGTGAGCACCACAGCCTAGTAGCCTACCACCGGATGCTAGCTTCTTATAGAAAGCAGTCCATATGTTTATGTCAGTCATGAGACTGCTGAATAGGGTCAACTGTGGTCTTTCATTATAAAAAAAAAATATTCTTGATGCCAGTTGCTTCTCTTTTTTTTTTTTTTTTTTTTTCTTCTGGTAAGCAAGTTATATTCCTTGTTGACGACCAGGTCCAGTGTCTCTTACATTGGTTTTCTCATTCAACGCTTCTCTCAATTACGGTCAAGACATCCTGAGACTGGGGCATTGATTGCTTACTGATCCAGAAGGATTTATTGACGCTCCACCCTACTTTTTCGTGTGAAAATCCCTTTGGCATAATTCTTACAATCATACCTTCCATCTTCACGACTGTTCTAGAGAAAGCAAGGCCCTCTGTTGATTGGGAATTGGAAAGCAAGGCCCCTTTTTTTTTTTCTGATGGCCTTCAGTTATCATCATTGAACTGACCGGCCCCAGATAATTCAGAATTTATTTTTATTTTATTTTTTGTTGGGGGGGGGGGGGGGAGAAGAGGGCCTTTGTTTGTGCTGGGGAAAAGCATCCAACCGTTTTCTTTTTTTTTCCACCAAGTTTATTCTATATCCCTCACTACCAGGTCCCTGTCCTGGTCGCCCCGGTCTATTGGTGGGGGACAGCACCTGCTGGAAAGCAGGTCCGACGTCCCAGCAATTTGTTCCACCACCAGGCCCATTACCCGGCTTCAGCTAGAGTTGAAGAAAGATGAGGGACCAGCCTCTTCAGCCCCTTCATGCCGCCAAATCTGCCGTATGGTCGCTGGTTGTCTCCTCCGTCGGCGTGCCGTGTCGGCAGTTTTTGTTTGGCGTAACCCCTGGCTCTTACTTGAGTGAAGTCCATCGAGGCCGACTACTGCCCGCCTCCATAACATTGCAGGTCCACCAATGACAGGCTGTGTGGCGGGAAGAGGTCCGGGAAGTCTGACGGTGGTAGCAGCGGGATTGCTGCGTCCAAGGATGTCCAGTCCTTGAAGAGAAGCCTGTAGTCTCGCCTGGGTTCTACCTCCTTCACTTGATCACTCCCCTCCCACCAAACTTCAGCTATCCATCCCCCTTGTTTACTCCCCAGTCATTCCTCCAAGAACTGTTGTATTGCTTGTGTTACGTCTTTCTTTTCATAGTAAAGATCTGGTTTTCCTTTTTCTTTCATCCACTGACCCTCATCCAGTTGAATTTGCTGCCTGATGATGTCCGTCATTTCTTCCCCTGTTATGCACACATTTTCCTTCTTAACAGTGTTGCACACGCCAACTGTCTGCAACCCCTGACTGGTCGGCTGCCGACCCACCGACCAGTCGGCTGGTCGGCACCTACCGGTCGGGGGTCGTAGGCACCCCGGTTTTTGGGTCCACCCTAATAACCCCACGAACACCCCCATACCCACCCAAAATACCCCCACAACCCCCCCCAATACCCCCTATACCACCCCTGTACCCCCCTACATCCCCCTATACACCCCACCCCCAAACCCCCCATCCCCAAAAGTTTCTCAGCGGATTTGGGCTGTACTCAGCAAGCGCAGTACAGCTTCCAACTCAGATCTGAAAAAAAAAGAGTGGATGGTTGTTTTCTGACTGGTCGGCAGACCGCCGACCAGTCGGCCCTACTGGTCGGCTGCAATACGGTCGGCGGTCGGGGTCGGCGGTCGGCAGGGATGCAACCATGGTTCTTAAAAAAAAAAAAAAAAAGAGACGACCACCCCACATAAAGACCGGGTCTTGGAGCTCTACCCAGTGTTATGCTTTTGACGAGACCCAATGGGACCCGGAATCGAAGTACCACACATAACTCAAAGTTGTGATTCTACTTCCAGGGCTTAAACCCTAAACCCTAGTTTCTCCTTTCTTACCCCTACTTTCCCTACCTCTACCACTCCGATTTCTTGCTCTATCCTTGTGTACTCATCTCCGTTGTCACAGCGGTTTAGCGATCCCATATAAGCCTAAACTTGACGTAACACGCATAACTACTGCTGCAATGCTACTTTTTGCATTGAACCTTAGACCCTAGCTATTCCCATCATAACCCCTTAATTCCTACTTGTACCACACTACTTTCTTTCTCTAGCCATGTGTACTCATCTCTGCTTAAGCCTATCTTAACCCTTACATTCCTTACCTCTAACCACACTACTTACTTTT